GGGGTTGGCGCCCCCCCCGCGCCACGCACCCGCGGCGGGGCGGTCGTGGCCGAGCGGCAGCCGCGCTGTCAGCCCGCGGGGCTTGTTGGCGCCCTACCCCCCTGCCCCTGTCGGGGGGCAGCCCCCCGAGGCCTGGCCTGGCGCTCCCCTGTCCCTGCCCGGGCCGCGCTGTCAGTGCGAAGGAGAAATCCGGGATGGTGCCTCGGAGCGCCCTTACGGCATCTGCCTTCGCGTGTGTCACCCAGCCCCAGGTCACCTGCTCGTCCCGGGAAGATGCAGTGTGTTGGAAATGAAGAAGCGGTCTCTCTGGAGCAGCTCTTCGGGTTTTTCTGCGAGTGCGTACGGCATGGAGACTGGGAGCTTGCGCAGGCCTGTGTGCCCCAGCTGAGCCAGTGGCACGGGGATGGCACTGACAAGGTGGAAGCAATTCTCCAGGCTCTGGTAGCTTGTCCCGTGGCAGTAAGGTACGTAAGGTACTGTCTTGGTTCAGCAGACTTGAGTGTGAAATGAGGAAGAGCAATCGGTTTAGTGGTGACTGTGGGAGACAGGCAGGATCTGGCAAATAGCACTCGCTTCAGTGCATCTTGGATGTGTCTAGATGTGCTGTACCTGAACACTGACATCACTGCCCAAGCACTAATCGGGCTACCCAGCCGGCTATAATGAGTTGTATTCATTTATGCAGTTAACATGGTGATTGATACAAGTTTAAAGCTATTTGGAAGTATTTCAGAACTTATTTTGCTAGATTTTACTGGAGGAGAAGGAGCATCTCCTGAAATTACATTTCTTTTACACTGAACTTTGGTTAATTTAGAAATGTGTTCTGGTTTTGTCACAGATAGAGTTAATTTTCTTCCTAGTAGCTGGTACAGTGCTGTGTTTTGGATTCAGTGTGAGAATAATGTTGATAACACACTGATGTTTTAGTTGTGCGAAGTAGCATTTATCATAAGGATTTTTTCAGTTTCCTGCGCTCTGGCAGCGAGCAGGTGCACAAGAAGCTGGGAGGGAGCACGGCCAGGAAAGCTGACCCAAACTAGCCAAAAGGATATCCCATACCATAGAACATCACAGCCCGTATAGAAACTGGGGGTGTTAGCCAGGAGGGGCCGATGGCTACTTGGGGACTGGCTGCACATCGGTCAGCAGGTGGTGAGCAATTGCATCGGGCATCACTTGACTTTCTTGGGGTTTATTTCTCTCAGTTATATTCTTTTTCATTACTATTATTATTATGTTATTGTTATATTTTAGTTTAGTTATTAAATTATTATTATCTCAAACCAAGAGTTTTACTTTTTTTTTTTTTATTCTCTTCCCCATCCCACTGGGAGCAGGGGGAGGAGTGAGTGAGCAGCTGCCTCGTGCTTAGTTGCTGCCTGGGGCTAAACCTCGACAAAATGGAACCACCAAGATTAGCACTGTAATTATTTAAAATGTTCTCTTGTTTCCAACTCTTGAAAGACCTCCCAATTTCAAAACATTTCAAATAATGCTATTTATTTCTTATTTCTCTCACATTAGATTCTAAAAGAGTATTGATTTTACTCAATCCTAGTTAGTTATGGTCTCTTGCTTTTTGGGTAGGTGCACATGAAGGGTGACTTTTTAGCACTTCAGGGAACATTGATATTCCCCCTCTCCAAGCAGATGGTTGTACTTCACATTAAAATTTGTGTAACGTTCTGGTAAAGGTTCTAAGAAACAGTTTACACTGACAGCAGTTAAAGGAGTCTGGAATATGTGCATGTGGTTAGACTAATATTGCTAACAGCCATGTGAGACACAACATTTTTAATCTTTGATAGTTGAACAATTGCATCTAAAGGCTTTGGTTAACAGTGCTGAGGTTTTTAAAGGCCGATTAAACTATCTTGGGCTTTTTCCTAGTCCATTTGACAGTACTGAATATGTTTCCTAACTGTGTAGGTTTTGGAATGTGTGTATAAGGACAGGAGCACATGAAGAGCTAATGGGATTTAAAAGTATTCTGTGTTTAATTAGTATGATACTTCACTTGTAGTTTGGACATAGAGCTGCACTTGTGCTGCCGACCTAAAGCTTATTTTCATTTATTGGGTCGAACTAGATAGAACAGGAAATAAGTGTTTGGCAAGTGGTCAGATTTCAAAGAAATCTGCTGAAGTGCTCAAAGAGGGTTATAGGGACTGAACTTTAGACCAGAAATGAACTTTTGTTTTTGAAGCAAAGAACTATGTCAGTAGCGTTAGTATTCGGCATATCTAAAAGCAGTTACTTGCACAGCAGAAATCATTGAGTTAATGTGTAATTAGTACCAATATTCTGGTTTTTCTGCATTTTCTTCCTGTCTGACTCATCTTCAGCTATTTAGTCATCTTTGTTTTTATCTTACACAGGGAAATATAAAAATCAGTATGACCTCTGACAGTGTTTTCCTGGATTTTAGAGATGGGAATGACTTTGTATAATCCAATGTATGTGCTTGTTGCTTTTGTAGATGGGGACAGAATTCTAGCCCATGGAGATCTGCATGGCTTTGGCTTCTTGTGCTGGAAAAATGGCTTGCCAGGAATCAGGTACAGAAACATCTAGCTGACTTCCAAGTGCAAAATGTCTGCCTAGTTGCTTATTTAAATGATAGGCTTTCCTATGTTTCATGGAATTAAGTTCTCAAGGTAGCTTGGAAAGGTGTACTGCTTTTGCTTTTAACAAACTTGTCACAAAACAAGTGTTAATCTTCTCCACACTGGAGAGAAAAATTGGGAACAGAAGTTGGCTTTTTAGCATTAAGCATTTCTGTAAATGGAAAACATGAGAGTATCAACTTATGCATTTGTGTAGCGCCTTTCTTATATTGAAGAAGAAATAGCTCAGGCATCACACAATTCACAGAATTCTTTAAAAGCTTTAGATGATAGGGGATGTGCTTGCTGTATTGCTGTTCCCAGCCACGTGCAGTATGTTTCATGAGGAGGAACTAGTCTTTTTCCTTTTTTTTTTTTAATTGGTACATGGGGATATGTGATCATACTTTTTTTTTTTTTAGTTCATTTGTCCTTGTCACGACTTAGACTTGCATTTTTTTCTTTATATTCTGAGGAAAGATGTCTGATGGAATTGTAATTCCTGACAAAGTGACACTGTTTCCATATGTATAGATAAATGGAATCCAGTGGTGTGGGGGCAGAACCTAATTGTGGAATAGCCTTTATCTGAGAATTGAGTATCTTCAGAGAGATGTTTCAGTCTGTCTCAAAATGTTGAGGAAATAGCTAAGATGAGGTTATAAGCTAATGTAAATAAATAAAATCTTGATTGGCTAACATCTTTCCCATTCTCTGATACTGTTTCAGAAAACTGTTCCAGTTGTTCTTCAGAGAGAAACTGAATTTTTATTGTTCTTGGAAGAACTACAGAAAGATGTCCCTGAGGAAGTCCTAAAGGTGAGCTACTTAGTATGCCCTACTTGTTATGCAGAATGTCCAACTTTATCAGGTTTTGGGATCAAATCTGCTAACTGGACTGCCTGAGATGCTCATGTGTTACTAATCTTCTAGGCAACTGAAAGAGACTGTAATTCAGATTCCTTTCTGAAGTTAATCCAATGTGCCTGCAGGTGATTTCTCTGGCTAGAGAGGAGGCTGTAGGCAGGCAGGGAACAAGTTTTTCTACATGGTCTTTCTAACACACTTCAGTCCTGACTGCAGCTCGTTGCCAGTTTCTTGTATCTATAGACACCTTTAGTAATCATAAAACTGAAACCCACTGTGAGACAAAATAAACCACAGTCAGCAAAAAAATTTAAAAGTATGTCTATTTTCTTTTTCTTCCTCCTAAGATCTTAATTTTCATCTCTTCTGCACCCCTTTACCCCCTTCCTGGAAGTTTTTAGACACCGTATTGTTAATACTGATGTTATTTGGTAATTGGTATGATGTGTGCTCTGAGGTCCAAGACCCATTTTTCTATTATTAATTAATCCGTGCAGACTGGTTTATTTGTGAAATACATGGACATATGCAAAGATGGATTAATATCAAAAGCAAGTATAGAGCAGAAAATCAGGAGATTTACTAGCTGTAAAACTGTCCTAATTTGGTGCTGGTTACAACAGAATTAGACCTGACATGGTGCGTGGAATGTCCTCAGATATTGCTTCTAGTCTTATAGGTTCTAACTCTTAAAAAAAGCCAAACAGAACAAATCTATTTAAGAGGAAACTGAAAGTGGCAAATAGCCTCTGAATATAGTAAGTTTTCAAATATGAATATGGAAAAGGTGTTCAATAATTCTCTAAGGTTGCAGTATTAACAATTACAGGATGAAAGCAAGCAAGGTAA